GGATTCGGCCGTTGGCTTGGAAAAAATTGGAAGCCATATCTTACAGGTATGTTTAGGGATTGTGGTTTATGGCAATTAAGCAGAACTAGCGAATTAAATTGAGGATGTAACTCCCGTGAGGGAATTTATTATAAACCAACAGATTTCAGTCGTCGTACAAATGGTAGACGTAAGTAAGAACTAAAAGTCTGAAAACTGTAACGGTAATTACGTCAAAATTCAGAGCTTGTGTAAAATAGTCTGTTTCAACGCTCTTCAGTGAATTCACTGAAGAGCGTAGAAAATGAGTCCCTGCGCAGACGCATTAAAGTCAGAGGACCTCCCGCACACACCGTTCAGTTGATCTACCGCTGAGCCATACAGAACTCGTGACGAGCCATCACTTGACATTTGGTTCATATGTTATTCTCGTCTTGCATACTGTTCCTGACGGTGAATGTTATTATTTTTCGTGATGTATAGAGCTTTAGGGGAGCTCTAACCACTTGAATTCTTTACAGAAGTACCTGGGCACACTAAGCCGATGAAATTGGGTATCACAGCTCCCAAGCTGGAAAAGTTGTGGATTTATGGAGACTCACAGGCCGAAAGACTGCACTTATCGATAAAGGATGGACCTCTTTGTACAGAGATCTTTAAATCTTGTAATCTAAGTAAAATGTGGGTTTACCCTTACAGCGGTCAGTTTCCAAAATGGGATGATCAAGACTTCGATAAGTCCATTATTCTCGATAGTCTCAGGGTTGTGTTGGAAAGACCCGATATGAGCGAAAACAGTGTGTTGATTTTGAATCTTGGACTGCATTACATGGAGAGCATCAGACTACAAGATTATAGAATACTTCTTTTGAAGGTGATTGATCTATTGAACGAAAGAAACAAAGGTACAGGCGAACTGAAGCATAAGGCTCGTGTAGTATGGAAAACGTCCACTTCTATAAGCAAGGAGAAGGACACTGGAAGTCAACTGACAAGTGATCGACGAAGATTCCTTGCTCTACCGGTAAATATATGGGGGGAAAGCAGAAATTAGAGTTGGTACTTTCAAGTAGTTAATTTCTTTTTCTTTGTTTTTCTTTTGGTACGTTATTGCTTTTCTTCTTCGTGCGTATGGTTGGTTGATCATCGGCCGGTTGAAAAGTCGATATCTCCACCGGTGGTTCGTTTATTTCTCGCGCTATCCTTTTACGTAACCAATTTGAATTCATTCAATTTTAATTTTCGCCCGAGACTGAAGATGATCTTCAAAAATAAGAACTTTAAATGCCTTGAGAAATGTGACTTAATATCTAAATGTCCTTGATTTTCCTTTTTTTTTTTTTAATAAAATTTTTACTTAAAAAGATTGACAGCTCGTATACATTTCTTGGAAACTTAAGCCGTCTT